AAAAAAAAAAAACAACACACAGCAAAATGGACGGCAGTATATATAGAAAACATAACAATTCTCAGACATTAAAGTGTTTGAAAGTGGTGTGAAAAGAATGAAACACTAACCTCAGATAACAGACATGTAGAGAACAGTTTGCTCTGATGTGACTGTGAGATGAAGTGTTTATATTTATGCTTTTTAGTAAAACACACCCTCATAAGTTGCAGATCAAACTAATTAGACTGACGTAACTAATTAGGCTGATGCATATCCTGTTGTTGCTTTGAAGTGGAAAACAACAAAAACAAATTATTGTCAAAGCAGATTTCATGTAATTAGGAAACTTTGCGGAATAATTATATTTGTCAGTCTTGTTTTTGAGAGTGCACACAATAATATATGATTTTTTATTTTTTTACACTACTTAAAAGGGTATAACAATATAGTGTGTGTACTGTGAATGTTCCAAAGATTTAGACCAGATAAAAGAAGTTTGATGATGAAAACATCCGTGATCATCATGGAAAAATAAATGGCAGTAAAATAAAGATACACTTGCTAGGTGCTATGGGCATCTTTATGTACCACTAGAACAGCAGCAGGCCATAAATACAGAGTCTGTAATAAGTAATATCATCTCCTTGGACGTTGAGAATGTGTTACGTTGTCATAAATCTGTCATGGTCAATATAAATTGGCCAGTTTATGGGTAGGAAAGCATGTTAAAAGTTGAACTGTAAACAAATCTCTACAGTTTATTACTAATATATTATGATTAAAGCAAATATATGAAATGGAACAAGTTTGTCTTTTTTTAAAGAAAAAGAAATTACAAAAAAAAAAAAAAACAATTTCTGCCAAAAATTGCCCTTAAAAACTGATCAACAAAAAGGAGAATAGTGACAGAGACCACCGTACCACCTGTGCCCACTCTGAAACAGGTGTGACAGGAGAAAGATTGAGTTTATTCAGAACCTGACCCTGATGTAATACTTTTCAGTGTTTTAGAAACTAAAGCTCATCATTACTTGATTTATCATTTTACATAATAAATATTTTTTTCAAGTACTTAAAAAGTACTTCAAGAACCCCCCCTGGAAATTGTATTGCTTTTATTGTTGTCAGAAACCAATCAAGTCATTTACTGTAGAATATAAGACATGTAAATCTACTAGAAACAAGTAAGTCAGGTCACTATAACACCTGTGCCCACTCTGAAACAGGTGAGACAGGAGAAACGGTGAGCTTGAGTCTATTTAGAACCTGACCACATGTAATACTTCTGAGTGTTTTAGAAAGTAAAACCTCTTCATTACTTGATGCTTATCTTTTTACATAATAAATAMTTTTTCAAATGCTTCCTATAAGTTTGATCTCTTACCCCATAGAGGATTGGACTAATGGATCGGGGCAGAATTTGAAAAAGTATRTAACAAGCAAACAGAGAATCTGAATAATTCTTTGGGAACCATTGCAGCAGAGCTTGTTTCAGCAGGTGCTCTACGTATATTGCCATGCATAATAAAAGCTGAAATCCATGGAGAAAAATTGTGTTTCTTGCCTTTTTAGCATCTCTACCTGCTTTCTTTGCTGTAAYMAGGATTTTAAAATAAGTGTAAAAGAGAACACACCATACTAGACACAGATATGTAATATAGGTAATACTCCTCCGTTCAATGATGCTGGGATTTCGAAAAACTGTTTCTCTGACACAAAATATGTTAGATCTAAAGAAGTCCAAAGGCTCAATGGCCAAAGTCTGGAAGAGGTCAGGAAGAGCAAACAAAGTGGTGGTCAGCCAGATGAAACCAATCAGTATCCTTGTTCTCTTGATGGTGCAGATCTGAGGATGACGAAGAGGGAGACAGACAGCGATGTAGCACTCRATCGCCATGAAGGCCAGGTTCAAGGGGCTGTTTTCAGAGGTGATAACGCCGAGCAAAATCAAAGTGCAACAAGAAACAACAGGTATCTTGTAGAGGATGTAGCTGACAATGAAAATTGTGACAGCCAATGACACTTGGATCATATCRTTGACCACCAAGTGGACAAACAGGATGTACCGAGGGTTTGAGTTGAAGATCTAGAAATGAAACGATGACAGAAAAAAGAACTCCTGTCAATAACATTTCCCCCCAAATACACCGCATAATGAGAGTTATGTTCATTAATGTTAAATTGAAGGGGCAAATTTTAAATCCTTATATCAGATCAGGATACACTGACTGAATAAAAGTACTTGCAGTGGTGCAGAATTACAGCTGTTGTGTACTAGGACGTATCAGGTAAGTACCTGGTACATACCAAATATGTACCCAGTAAGTACCAGCTATATTCCTTGTGTAGGTGCCAACAGGAAGAACAACTACACAAAAGAGATCAGACGGTCAGTCACTATTATTCTACCTGATCAGTGAAAGATAATATTTTAAACATGGATATGTTTGGTATATTAAATGTATTTTTATTACTGGACGTGTGGTAATTACATCTTTCAAAAAATAACATTGTTTAAAGAAGTTGCATAAAATCAAATAGAAAAACCTAAATACCAAAGGAGGGTCTGACCTGATGTTCACAGAAGGTATAAATGAGTCCTGCATTGATGTAATTGATGAAAAGGCTGAGAAGCACAACTATGACATTCTTGATGACAGCTTTGGTGAAGGAATCCCGATACTCTGCAACCAAGGTCACATTGGCAGCTGACACGTTCATTTCTCCAAGACTGTAAAAGTAACAGAAGGAGAGGTGACTTTTTAGTTTAGCATTATTTACCCAAGAAAATCCCAAAGAGATCCCAAATCTCTTTTGCAAGAAGTTCATCCTGGACCTGAAGGTAACCTATTGTACATATTATTGGGGTGTGGGTTAAACTGGAATACCTGGAGAAAACCCACACAAGCATGAGGAGAATGTGCAAACTCCAAACAGAAAGACCCCAGGTCCAAAACGGGATCAAACCCAGGACCTTCTTAATGTGAGGCATAAGTGCTAACCACTTACTGTAGTTATGCTGTGATAACAAGTACTGTAAACTGATCCACCCCAACATTAAAACCACTCACCTGATGCTCTTTTACTACAACAACCCTGTCCTGTAGAGTTTAGATCAAGACCTCTGAGGGTGTTATGGATTTTAAATAATAATGTCTGTTATTCACAAATCTTTTATGGTACATTCAAAGGCTGACATAACCAGCTGCAGCTCTTTATTAAATAGTTTTAATCAGTAAAAGTGTTGATCAGTAAAACTGATCTGGTGCCCACACCTTCAACAAAAGCATACTTAACTGAAGCAGAGTGGATAAAACAGTATCATCTTTCTGTATTAACTCTCACATGTTCTATATATAAATCATATTAATTAGCTTATTACACACGAGTCCCTATGGCC